TCAATATTATTTTATTCCCATTTGATGAGACTAAGCGGCATATCGAAGACGTCCCATTGTCGGTAAAAAAATCTACTGGAAGATTCTGGTTACTTCGAAATACACAGCAGATAATTTTGCAATGAGAGAAGCTCCAAGGCTTTGTACATATGTGGGTGTCTATCTGTATTACACACTATCTATCTATCTATCTATCTATCTATCTATCTATCTATTTGCACTACTTAAATTGACTGGTCCTCCCGTGGAAAAGAAAGATTTTTTTAGTTTTCTTTATGCCTTCCACAAGCCGCGACATTTAACAAAATCCAAAAATAATGAGATTTTAATCAGTTTATAAAGAAAATACTCTTCATAAAATAAATACAAAGTAAAATCGATCCCTGACTTTTTAAAGAGTTATCTGTAGTTAGGATTTTATTTACAGTGATTTTCCAAGCGTAGCTTAGATGTGAGACAAGGCCGAAAGTAGGGGTCACCCAGTGAGGATCGAATTCACTATTCATTCGTAATTTGTTCTAGCGAGACAAGCTTGCTAACTATTCCACCGCCTCGAGGAACCCAAGGTTTTTATTTACAAATTTCAAGATTGAAACTTTACTTGTATCTGCATACGATTGATGTCCATTTTTTGTTTTTTTTACTCCATAAAAAAATCTTTTAATTAAAGAACAATCGGATAAAATTAATTTAAGAAATGTTTTAAATAAACAATTATCAGATAATTGCAAATGTTTGCGTCGGATTTTCATTGTTAACATAAAAAGACCTCCATTTTATTCTAGCGTTTGTTTTGGTAACGGAGACGCAAACGGAGCGGGAAGCAAACTTGGGAATGTTCTGAACCCGTAGATAAAGGGGGCTTGCATCCAATGAAGGTGTTGCGATTCGTTTTGGTACTGATTTCTGGTGTGTTCGAGATTGAAACATTGCATCGTTCATTTGAGAGTCAGACTTCGTTGAATTTCGACGTTTTGCTGACAAATAAATTCCTTAAAGATGGAGAAGGTAATATTGTACTTTTGCCATATTATGCTCTTTGAATTCTAGAAAGAAGAAAAAATCAGAAAAAAAACAAAAAAACAAAAAAGAAAAAACAAACAAAAAAACATTCAAGAGACTTCTTTGGATTGTGTTCCAGTTCTCGGTGCGGTCAAAAATAGCTTGGTAGATTTCGTCAGGGTGATTTTAACCTTAAACGTTCAAACACGTCCAAGGTGACCTTCCGTCGTCGATGAAACTCTCTGCTTGCCATTACGCAGAACAATAAGATTTTGGCGGGAGAGATTGCTAAGGGTTTGGAAATCGATATCTCGACTACCTTTCAGCATTTGAAGAGACATGAGTTCGCTTCAAATCTCGCCACGTGGGTACAACATACTCGGACAGAACATAACTCACTCAATCGTGTTTCTAGGCCGTTTTATTTGCACTTGCGCCACGAAAAAGAGCCATTCTTGGACAGAATTGTCACAGGCGTTGAAAAATGAAACGTTTGTGATAACTTTCAACGCAAACGGAGATGGAAGCAAATTTGGGAATGTGCAGAACCAGTAGCTTAAGCGGGGTTGCATCCAATGAAGGTGTTGCTTTTCAGAGTCTGTCTATATTTCTGAGATGAGGTATTATGTACATTATTTACATTATTCGGACTATTGTCCTCATCTTTGTCGTCATATTTATCACAACGTTTCGGCATCGAGGACATATGACACAGTGGATAAAGGCGTTGGTTAGATCCAGTGACAGGACCCAAAGTGTGTGAGTTCAATACCCGGTTAAAGCAGTGGAGAACTTTCAGAGGGAAATTAACAGGAGATAACTGATAACTGACAGCCATCAATTATGGCACGTGGAACTAGAACAGTCTACCCCGGTGAGCGAAATAAAGGGTTCAGTTCGACATTCCAGCCACCTGAAGAAGGCCGGAGCGTACAACGGCCGAAACGTTGTGATAAATATGGCGACAAAGATGAGGACAATAGTCCGAGTAATGTAAATAATGTGTTGCTCTTCGTTCGCAGAGAGATAATTCATTTTGAACTTCTTCCAGGCAGCGAAACAATAACGGCAAATAAGTATTGCGACTAACTCACCCAATCAGTGCGGTTATTCAATAAAGACATGTACAATTCGGCGTGGTGTAATGTTTAGCAAGCTTGTCTCGCTAAAACAGTTACGACTGAATAGTGATTTCGATCCTCACTGGTTGCCCCATACTTTCGGCCATGTGCCACATCTAAGCTACGCTTAGAAAATCAATATTCAATGAAGACATACGATTTTCGCAAATTGAAAAGGTAACTATTTTCCATCACGACAATGTCAGACCGCATGTTGCAAAACAGGCCTTATAGAAGCTTAAAGATTTGACATAGGAAACCCCTAGCGCCTACTGTATTCTCCTAACCTGGCTCATTTGAATTTTTATTTCTTCCGGTGTCTATAGAAAAATTTAAATTAAAAAAATTTGTCTCTATACAGTCAAAACTAACTCCCTCAATCTAACTTCCAACAAAAACAGTAGGTTTATACGAAAATGTACAACAAGCATATAGGACGATGGGAGAAAGTTATTAACAAAAATGAAGACTATATACTTCCTTGAGAAACATTTTTTTTTGTGTATATAAAATTTTGATTTCAATTTTCTAATCAGGTACGAACTTTGGCAATGATCTAATACTTGTGTAACAAAAATAAAATTATTTTAAGAAAATATTAAAAAGGAGCAATTGAATGAAATTTCTCATTCTTTCTCTCATCGACATTTCGAATAAAGCCAGAATTCTCAACCAAAATGAAGTCGCTGTTGTAGTCATCCTATTGGGTTGAAGCAAAAGTTCGTAGCTTTTGAACAAGTAATTTGATATCGCAGATGACTGAAATTTATGAAATACCAGCTTAAAAGCCGCACTCCGAGCAGATTATTAAGCTAGCTCCTTTGGAGAGCTAACTGGGCCTCCCGACCAAATTAAAAAGACCTCTAGTTCGGCTTAGGAAACAACAATGATAATTTTGAAGAAATAACATTGAATTCCTCAATTCACTCCATGGAACTTCAAAATTTCATTTTAACTCTGATTCGAGCTATAAGTCCAATTCCGACCAAAAGAGCGATTTGAGCTGAAAGTCCTATTTTGGTCGAAATTCCAATTCAGGCCGAAAATTGAGTTCTTCAAATCACAAACTCTTCGGAACTTCAAATCCTGACGTCACGAAACCTCTCTGATTCTTTGGCATTTTGAAGAAATAACAATGATTTCCCCAATTCACAAAGTTTTGGAGATATTTTAAACTGAATTTAAAAAGAACATTTTTGAAATTCATAAAGTTTTTGTGTTACTTTAAACTCAATGTAAATTAAAACTTTTAAAATCACTAAATTTTCTCAGTTATTTTAAAATTTGAATTTTTAACTGTTCCCACAAATCCCAATATTCAAGCACCAGATGAAGGGCAGATTTTCAATATCGGGACCATTCTGATTCCCAAAAGGTATAATATAAGCAAGTGTCCACCGAGTTAGAGGGGTTTCAGACATACGTACGGACAGACAGAATTTGCCGTTTATTTATTTAGATATTCATATTCTGAAAAAGGATTTCTATACTTTTCAACGTATTTTTCTGTACTTTTCGTCTGTCTATGGATTCGTGTGTAGATTGTGAATTTTAAATGTTTCTGCACTAAACGTGGAAATGAAAAAAAAATGAGATATTAGCCGTTTATTGTTCCGTAGCTGAGAATACTGATCGTAAGTGATTTTTTTAGGTTCAAATGTGGAAATTCTGATCTGGAAGTCCTAGGACTTTCCGGCAAGCCACACAAATGAGTGTCGTAAAGCATATAAAAACGCTTAAATACGTGACTCAATACAATGTTTGGTTACTTCACGATTTAACGAGGTGGGGATGAATAGAAGACTGTTCTAGTTCCACGTGCCATGTCTACCCCAGTGAGCGAAATAAAGGGTTCAGTTCGAAATTCCAACCACCTGAAGAAGGCCTGAGCGTACAACGGCCGTAACGTTGTGATAAATATGGCGACAAAGATGAGAACAGTAGTCCGAATAATGTAAATAATGTACATAATACCTCATCTCAGAAATATAGACAGACTATAAATATATTTATAGAAAAGCTACAGGAAGACGGCAATACGGCGGTGAGAAAGGTGACTGAAGTCGAAATACTAGGTCAGTACCTATAACAATGCAGATTTTTCTTTGGATTTTATCAAGAATCTCTAAATGTATAGCTGCAGCACCAGACCATATGTAACAGCAGTATTCAAGGCAAGGATGAATGGTAGATTTATAAATATGTAAGACAGATTCTGGAGGGAACAAAATTGCCTAACACTATACAGTAAATCAACTTTTGTACAGTAAATCCACTTTTTCTAGCAGCTGAGCAAGTAACTGTTTCACTATAATCTTTCCACTTCATGTCAGCAGAGAACGTTAACTCGAGAAGGCGCAATGAGTCACTTTCCTGGATGTTAACATCAGCCATGATGATGAAAAGCAGAATGGTGTCTCTCATATGATTAATAGAAAGCAGTTTTATTTTGGACACGTTAAAATTAACAAGCCATTCCTTGCCTCAGTTAACAGCAGACTTTAGGTCACTATTGAAGTCAGCTGCCAATTTAGCCGTTTGGAACCAATAAGACAGCAATAAATAGTTGTGTCATCAGCAGAGATACCAAGTTTAGAGCTGAAGACATCAGGATGGTCATTGATGAAAATTAGGAACACCGTATGTCCTGGAGGGTGGGGACACCTGGATTAATGAAAAGAATCTAGAAAAGTGGCCGTTGAGGGCAACTTTCATTTCGCAATTTGATAAGAAAGATTGAATCAGATAAAAAAAAATTCCACCAGAAATAACATAACTTTTCAACTCGTGAAGAAAACCAGAAAACAAAATTAGTTACATAAAGCTACGGACTTTTATTCCGAGCCAATATATCCTGCTACGATGCGAAGAAGGGGATTACGGCCATATCACATTGAAACACCGATTCTCGTACGATCACAAAAGTTGAGCAACGTCGAGTCTGGTCAGTACCTAGATGGGTGACCCCTTAGGAATACCAGGTGGTGCATGCTTGGATGTGCGTATGGTATGGTTTACGGTCAAATCATGGTGAAACACCGATTCTCATACGACCATCGAAGTTAAGCAACGTTGAGCCTGGTCAGTACCTAGATGGGTGACCGCTTGGGAATATCGGGTACTGTAAGCTTGGATATACTGTTGCCGTAATGAATAACGGCACGGAATTGGAAATTGGCGAGCCAAGTTCTAATTCCAGTCGGGTTTGTTATATTCACTTACACACAAAAACCAATGGGAAAGCTATGAATCCACCTTTTCTCCCCCTTTTACTATGGGTTAATTATTAGGACTTGTATCAGTAAATCATTATCTGTCAAAAAATTCTTACAATCTAAAAATATTTTCTGATTTTAAAATAACCTACAAAAGGTTGAAAAGTCGTTAAAAAATCAATCGGTTAATTAACAGACGAAGAAGATTACCAGACTGACTGTCAGACTGAAACTTAAGTTGACGGATGAACAGAACGCACTCAGAGAATCTTCATTAGTGGCAGCCATTGAATAGGAGCAAGAAAGTTGTAAAGGGAGTCAAAGCTATCTCTTCGCTTTTTAATTACTGTCTGGCCAGTCGTAACAATGGCTGTTATATCTATTGTTACCTATTACCAATAGAAAGCAATTATAGATTCGTTCATCGATTTTTTTTCTTTCAGAGAATTCACTGAAAAAAGTATTGGTTTATATTTATTAAAAAGCAAAACTACGTTGTAGTACTCTTCGGTCGGAGGCTTCTATTAAGAAAGCTAGAAAAGTTACCCAGTTACTAAAATCCACGCATAATATTAATTAACTTCAATTATTTATGTATGTTTTAAACAATAAGTTTGCGAATATTCGTGTATAAAAATGTCTGAAGAAAACTGAAGGAATGTGGTTTATATATAAAAAAAGAAAGAAAAGAAATAAATTGTTAAATGGTAACAATTGATAAAAGTCTGTTTCAAAGGGGAGATAACCATGTGAAATAAAGTAGGCTACTTCTTTCATACCGGTATTGGTTTCCTTTCCTTGATTTTGTATTAAAAAAGAATTCAATTTATTATCTTTTAAATTTATCTTGAATTTAGTCCTTTCATTTTTTTTCTTTGATCGCAGTTCTTTTTTTCGTTCTTTTTAAAATTCAATTTACTGTAATTTTTTTCTTATTTTCAAATCAAAGAAGAATTTGGAAAGATAATTTGTGACTAGAGAATGTTTCTTTGAAAAATAAAATTAGAAAGAAGAGCTAAATACAAATAAAAAAAAAGAAAAGCGAAACGGAAAAATTGCGGTAATGGAAAAGAACTATCAGTGAAAGAAAAATTGATTAAGTCAAAAACTGTCACTTTGGTAAAGTACAAAGAATTGCTACGAAGGAGAAAAGATGTACTACGAAAGAAAAACGCTTTAAATGTATTTGGTAATGATTATGACAACGATGGAATGGAAGAAGAAGAAGAAGAAGAAGAAGAAGAAGAAGAAGAAGAAGAAGGGAGGAGGATGAGGAGGAAGAACAAGAACAATAATAATAATAATAAAGAAAAGAGGTGGAGAAGAAAAAGAAAGAAGTAGAGGAGGAGAAGAAGAAGCAGAAAAAGAAAGAGAACAACAACAACAACAACAACAATAATAATAACAATAATAATAATAAGAAGAAGAAGAAGGAGAATAATAATAATAATAATAATAGGAAGAAGAAGAAGAAAAAGAAGGAGAACAATAATAATAATAATAATAAGAAGAAGACGAAGAAGGAGAATACTACTACTAATAATAATAGGAAGAAGAAGACGCAGAAGAAGAAGAAAAAGAAGGGGAACAACAACAACAACAATAATAATAATAATAATAATAATAATAATAATAATAATAAGAAGAAGAAGAAGAAGAAGAATTTTTTGCTAGGCGGGAGGGTTACGTTGACAAAGAACGGGTACAACCAATTACATCTATTTCTTCTTCTTCTTCTTATTATTATTATTATTATTATTGATGATAATAATAATAATACGATATCCCAGAGTTAAAGGAAGAAGAGAAATTGGTATAATACAGATAGGATGATGTGGATCGAAAAATAAAGACGTAGAAGAAAGAAAGGAAAAAGAAACAAAAAACAAAAAAATGGCGCAGATGGACGAAAACAAGAAGTACACAAAAAAAAAAAACGAACGTAACAACATTGTAATGTATAAAATAAATAAAGTACAAAATGATGAACAAATTCAAAAGCAGCAACGAAGAAATCCGTCACTATTCTTTAGCTAAGTAGCTAAGCAGAATGATTGCATAAAATACTCAGATTTTCTAAATATAAATGAATATCAGAAAATTTTTTTATCCAGAATAAAATTGAAATGTTTTCAGAATTTCCACATTCAAACGGCGGCAAATTTTCTCGTCTTTCAACAGAAAAACCGAGGCATAAAAATGATAAAAAAAGAGAGACAAAAAAAAAATAAAAAAAAAAAATCAATCCGATCACACAAGAACGAAAGCAAAAAAAAAACTCGCCAACTAATTCCTTCCACAACCATTACCAATCATCGAAGAAGAAATTTAAGAAAAATCAGCAGGCGTTTGGAATTAAGTGAGAGTTGGAAGTTATGAGGAAGGAATCTTTGGGTAATGTATTGACGATTCTGATTGGCTGTGGTCGGCGCTCGAATCTTGTTCTGTCGACTGTTAATAGGCGTGACCCCGGGGCTAGGCGCCGACAATGGGCATTCAGTTGATGATCGGCCATGTTGAATGGCGAATCAATGAGTTTAAAGGGAATACAAAGATAGGCGAGAAAAGAAAGAAAGGGCATTGGGTGAAAATAAAAGCCAATTGGAAACAAATAGGCAAATATATACAAAGCGATATGTGTGTAAGCGAAACTGAACACGAACACACATACACGTGTTCAACACGTTATACAAAATAGTTACAACACGGGTTTTTTTCCATATACGCACACATAAAGAGAAATTCGTTAATGTTTTCTGCGTTTAGAATTCGTGGTCTTTGCGTGGAAGAAATATGAAACAAAATGACCAGTTCAACATTCCACCGAACTCAGTTTGCTCACCTTTATCTGCCAATCTATGTGTGGGCTTGTCTACAAGCCAAGATAGATATGTCTTTGCCTGGAATCGAATTCCGTCGGGTCACGAGTCTCCGTAACCCATGAGGGTGGTAATGGCATCACATATACTGCAGCCATAACAGTAGTAGTATGCCTAGGGCAAGATAGCATGACGGGACCCATCCCACTACAGGTAGGTTTTGAATTCAGACTTACCTTTTTTCTAGATTGGCTGTCACCTCAAGGCTGGAGAGCCCGGTTTGCTATTTATCCCATAGATGGAGAGAGAAGGGGTAAATTGTATAAAAAAATAAACCTGGCTTAAATTGGAACACGGTTCACAGATTTCTCTTTCTGAGTCGATAACCACTGCACCAACCGCACGTCAGTATGCTATGCACGTAAATGGAAAAAAAATGATTCTAAATAATACGTGAATAAATTTGTTCAAGTCTTCATTAGCAATAAATCTAAATAAAAGTCAAGATTTCAAAGGTTCATTGTCGGCTATGAAAATTGCCTACAATGTTTCATCAGTCATGGCACTCAATACAAATTGCAAAATCTCTATAGACTCTATAGGTATAAATATTATTTATCTATTTTCTCGATTTCTCTTGTCTCGACATTGTCCTGTCCCCGATTCGACTTGTCACCACATTGTCTTCTCCTCAATCAGTCTTTTCCTTAAATTGTCCAGTCTTTGATTTGTCTTGTACCTACATTGCCTTGTCCTCGATCCACGATTAGTCTTGTTTCGACATTGCTCTTTTGTCAATTAGTCTTGTCTTTAAAATTCTCCTGTCTTCGATTAGACTTGTCTCTACATTGCCCTGTTCCCGATTGGGCTTGTCCCTTCGACCTACATTGTCCTGTCTTCGATTTATCTTGTCCTTACATTGTCCTGTTCTCGATCCACGATTAGTCTTGTCCCTACTTTGCTCTTTTTTCGATTAGCCTTGTCCCTACATTGTCCTGTCCTTGATGTCACTTCTCGCGACATTGTCCTGTTTTCGATTAGTCTAGTCCTTATACTGTTCTCTAGGCGTTTAGTCCTGTCACTTCATAGCCCTGTCCTCGATTTGTCTTGTCCTTATATTCTCCTGTCCTTGATAGTCGATTAGTCTTGTCTCTACATTGTACTCTTCCCGATTAGTCTCGTCTCTACATTTTTCCTTGTTCTATTTATCTGTGTAAGCAGTTGCTGTTTATCTGGGGTGTAGTAGAAATTATATCCTTATCACGTTGAAACACGCCTATTGTCCCTACATAGTACTGTCCTCGATCAGTATTTTCCCTAAATTGTCATGTTTTTGATTTGTCTTGTACCTACATAGCCCTGTCCTCGATCCACGATTAGTCTTGTTTCGACATTGCTCTTTTGTCGATTAGTCTTGTCTCTAAAATTCTCCTGTCGTCGATTAGTCTTGTCTCTATATTGTCCTGTCCCCGATTAGTCTTGTCCCTACATTGTCCTGTCCTTGATTTCACTTCTCGCGACATTTTCCTGTCATCGATCAGTCTTTTCCCTACATTGTCCTGTCTTCGATTTATCTTGTCCTTACATTGTCCTGTTCTCGATCCTCGGTTAGTCTTGTCCCTACTTTATTCTTTTGTCGATTAGTCTTGTCCTGTCCTTGATGTCACCTCACGCGAAATTGTCCTGTCTCCGATTAGTCTAGTCCCTACACTGTTCTCTAGGTGTTTAGTCTTGTCCCTACATAGCCCTGACCTCGATTCGTCTTGTCCTTATATTCTCCTGTTCTTAATCGTCGATTAGTCTTGTCGTACATTGTCCTCTTCTTGATTAGTCTTATCCCTACATTTTCCCCTGTTCTATATATCTGTGTATGCAGTTGCTGCTTATCTAGAGTGTGGAGGAATCACGTTGAAACACGCCTCTTCTCCGATCATCGAAGTCAAGCAACATTGAGCTT